GACCCTGCAGTGCAATCAGACCTACTCCTTCGGACACTGGTCAATGTACAAAGGGGCAGTGCTTCAATTGTGCACTGAAAATCCTCCCATCCCGAAATGCTATTAATTGAAATGAAGTACTACAAAGCAGGGAAAATTAGAAAATTAGAAAATCACTTTTAACTTAATTTAGCTTCTCTGTGTTTTCTTGCTGAGCAAATACCTTTAATCCTAGTACGTTTCCCCTTTTTCTTTATTTCCTGCTTTTGTCCCTCATGAGTTCTTTCCCTTTCTATCTTCCCCCGCTCTTTCTCATCCCTTTTTTTATACCCTTCTCTCTCTAATTTTCCCTTCTGTGGTTTTCTTTTCTGCTTCTCCTTGCTGTTATACTTCCTTTTCAGACTATTTTTCTTTTTGGCTGTTCCCTTTGATCTCAAACTTTTAACTCCTTTCCCTCTTTTCCCCCTTATTACCACATTTTGCATTATTTGATCATTGAAAATGGCTTCTTCTTTGTCCCACCCTTCTTCTTGCTCTTGAAGCTTTTGCTTTTGCTTTTCATAGTTCAGGATCTCCATTTCAAGAAATTCAAATACGAAGCCAAAGGATCTTCCTCCCCTTTCTACATCTTCTTTCTGTTTTTTAAGACTCATCTTCAATTTCTCCAGGAGTGATGGCATTTTAAACACTTTTGAACAACCACCCAATTGACTTTAAGTAAAAACAGAAAAAGAAAGAAAAAACCAATGCCAAAAACTTTTTTTTATATCACCAAATGACCCCAGACTGTTCCTTCTTGTTTCTTTCCTTTACTTTTCCTTTCCGTGGGTTACTGTATCTTTTAATAAGGTTTCAGTTACAATGTATCCTTGGGAATCTTTTCAAAGTTTCGCTGTTAATCCTCTTTATTTTTCCAGGTGGCACTCCATTATTCCAAGTTCCGCCCTTTTGCCTCCACTCTTCTCCTTTTTAGGGCTTTAAAATGACCAAAAAAATTTTTTTTTCTATTCTCCTTCTGACACTTAAATTTCAGCTTAAAGTTGTCTATTAGTGTCAAAGTAAATTAATATAGATTTCTTTCCATACCATTTGCAATTGTCAATATAAAGGTAAAAAAAAGGGTTTTTAACCTCCTTTTCTCTCTCCTTCACCGCTTAAAGATCTTTTTTCAGAAGTATCCCTCTAGGTACTTTTAGATTCAGGGTACCTTGCTTAGATGTTCTCTGTTGTTTAGCCCGGTCTGTCCTGCTTTCCTCTTTGTCTTCCTCCTGCACAATCTTATCCAGCTGGGTTCTTCTTTGAGGTGGCCATTTCTGACCACCACTGCAACCGCCTTTGAGAAAGGGAGTTTAGACCAGCCAAGGAGGAGAGATGCAGTTCCCCTCCACTCGGCTAGCAATCTCCCCCCTCTTCACCACCTCTACGGGGTGGCTTCAACCCCGAATCCAAAGGATCGGGGCGCTCCAGCGGCGAGCACAGATCGAAACCGCACACGATCGTGGATTTCAGCCTGTCGCTGAAGAAACCCAAACCGGAAGCTTCCCCTAACCTATAATCTTAACATAAGAACATAAGCAGTACCCTGATGAATTGGACCAATGGCCCATCTAGTCCAGCAGACTGTTCTCCCAGTGGCAAACCAACTGCACGAGGAAGTCCACTAGTCTACCAGCAGATACTTTCAAAGGCAATCACAATGCTAGCAAGATCAATGCCAGTAGCCAGCCATCTCCATGACTTCCATGAATTGGTCCAACTCTTTTTTTGAAGACAATCAAACTCAGATCATCAGATCAAGAAACATGGTGAAATCACAACTGCGCTTATGATCTTAGTACAGCTTTCCTTTGCTTTACCACCCTGCAAAGGTTGTAAATGTGAAGACTGGTCATAAAAGTTACTTTTTAATAGCTGTTGTAAGGGCAAACTGTCACTAAGATTGGTCATAAAGGTTGGCTTGCCCTATCAGTATTGATGGAAGTGTTTTCTTCTTGATAGTTCATTGATTAGATTATTGTTTACTGTTTGAGTAAATAACTGAGTTGGTAGTTCCTTGATTAGGGTATTACGTACTTCTCAATTGGTCTGGAATTAATCCTAGTGTTAAATCCTGCTTATCTTGGTGTTGAATAATGTGTAAATGTTGTTTATCTCTATGTGCCTGTTGATGGTTTATTTCTCTGAGTGCCAGGCTTCCAGAAACTGCCTAGCATTTTTGGACTTAATTTGGTCTAGAATTTTCAGTTTCCCAGTTGAAAGTGTTGAGGTAATTCCCCGTTAGGAGAATGAGTGCACACAGGGAGATGTAGTGAGAGTAGTGAAGAATAACACACAACCAGCACACAGATACACTGTATAGTTAAATGTAGGTTTTTACTTCCAGTAAAATGGTTAAGCAAAGTTCAACAAACAGTCCAAGTCATTCACGGTTAAAGCAGTCAGTTTTCAGTCCAGGGATAATCCAATTAACAAAGTCCAGTATCATAAACAGTTTAGTAACAGACTTACATCAAATCCAAGAATAACAACGATCAGCAAAAGTCAATAGGCAAATGCAGGAACAGCAACAACTCTCAGCAACAACAGAACAACCCAGGTTTCTGGCTCCATCTTATGGCCATTTGAGGAACCACACCCAATTACAATTTTAGCATTCCGTTAAAGAGACAGTATTAAAATGTCTATCCTGGTTTTTATAGTTTCCAAACCAACTGTTAGGTGACTTACATTCCTAACATTCTCCCCTTTGGGTAGGACAATATATACAACCTTACATTCTAAGTCCATAATCCTCACAGCAAGCCTTAACTTTTACAGAACCTTGGGCTTTTGTAAAATGATCTGCAATGTTATTTTCTTACATACAGTATTCCAGCTTAATCATCTTACTTTGCACACATTGTCTCACATTCAAATATCTTAAATCTGTGTGTTTTGATCCTATCTTTACAGCAAGATTTGAAGCCATCTGTATTGCTGATTGGTTGTCTTCATAAACAACAATAGAATCTGTTACATCAATTCCCATATCAATCAATAGTTGCTTATAACAAACTAAATTTGTACATAATAAAGACAAACATGAGAATTCAGCCTCCATTGTTGACAAACTTAGATGTTTCTGGCAAATAGACCTCCATCCAATCAACACCTTTCCCAACAACAACAATCAGCAAAAGTCAATAGGGAAATGCAGGAAGGGCAACACTCTCAGCAACAACAGAGCAACCCTGGTTTCCGGCTCCATCTTATGGCCGTTTGAGGAACCACACCCAATTACAATTTTAGCATTCCCTTAAAGAGACAGTATTAAAATGTCTATCCTGGTTTATATATTTTCCAACCCAACTGTTAGGTGACTTACATTCCTAACAGAAAGTATGGCTAAGTCTGTCCATGTCCTATGCAATATGTATTTCAAATCCAATTTCTTGTTCAGAAATCAATGCTTGTGTTGCAACAATTATTAATTTAGTTGCATAAAAAACTACACACAGTACTTTAATTGGGGAATAGTTTTTTCTAGCATATCTACATTTGAGGTAATCAAATCAATCTGTTGTTGCGGCAAAAGCTAAAGATGTCATGGTACCTTAAAGGTGAACATACAAACTTTTCTGGATTTTAGCCACCAGAAATTAAAATATTAACTTGAGTCCAATCACCTCCACCCCAAATTGGGTAAAGGATAGAACTCAAGGTGAAAATAGAAAATGAAATGTAACAATACTTTCTGATAACTTACCTAATTAATTGTCATGATTCATGTAACAGGTCCTTGTAATAGTGAGCTGATTAAAGAAAGTAAAGTCACATACATGTTGAAGATGTTTTTATAAGAGTTTCAGGAAATAAAAGCTGAACTGCTTCATGAATTGGAGTGTATTTTAAAATGAAAGCAGTACATGTTAATAAAATCGTTGCTCATGAATGACTGCCTTGATAAAGTGGCAGAGTAAAGTAAAAGGCCTTTTTAAAAATTAATTCCTGAATATGTCAATTTGTGAAGCCAGATTTGTGTCCTGTTTATTTTCTTCTGTAGAAACAAATCAGTTAGCTTCATTTGCAATGCAGAAAGGGGTACAATTTATTTTGCCATAATAAACAGATTAGATCTGAGAGCAGCAAACAGATGTTTTTCAGGTGCTTTGGATTACAAGTCCCATAAACCACAGCTAGAATAGCCAATGTTCAAGAGATATTAAAATAATCTAAAACACCAGCAAGCAAAAGTATAGTCGACCTATTTTTTTTATTAAAAGCATTGTAAGATGATGCTGCCAAACAGCCTAACCTTGAAAAAAGAACAAACTAAACTTGATGATACTGAATAAAGACATACATTATAAAATATATTAATTAAAAAGGAAGAAGTCTTCAAAGTATCACTCAATACATTCCCTAGAATTTGATAACATATCCTGGCAAATCTTCCAGGTGCCCTAATTAATACATTTCCGTTCTTCCTTTCTACCTCTCCATAAAATATAAAGGAACCACCACGGGCAAGTTACAACGATCCCAACAGTAAAGAGAGACCCACTTCTTATTCTATCACACTCCTTGAACCTCATTTTGTTTGTCTTGGGATAAAGGCAATGTGGGGATTTAAAAAAAAAAAAAAAAAAAACCTCGGAAGGCAACCGCTGCAAAAACAAACGGCGTTTGTATATACAATAAAACCAGAGAAACGAAAGGCTTTTGGACACCTCCTTGCAGAGACATGCGGTCTGATGCAAGCATTTGAGCCATCAAGGGCTTCTTCACGTCCATGCCTCGCCTTAAAGAGAAGAGTGCCTTTGCACGTATAAACTTGGCAGCTCCCTCTGAACAGCGAGAGGCGAGTTCTTGAGGGCAACAGCGGACAGATTCCCTTGGCGGCGTCACAGCCTGGCACGTGGATTGGCAGAAGGCGCACTCCGCGCTTCTCCAGGCTTGCCCAGCGCTGCAGACGCGAGACCGCTCGCCGCCTGCTCGGCGGAAGCTTTAGGTGCGCGGGAGTAGCCGGCTCTTCCACCTACCTGTAGGGGGAAAGTCGCCGCCTTGTTGCCCACGTAGCCCCGGACGACATGGCTCTGGATGGAGAGCACCCTGCACTCCTCCTCCTCTTCCATGCCTGCGCACCCTGGAGAGCAAGGAGCGGAGCGCGCACCAGCCGGTCAAGCTGGGCAGAGGGGCAGAGACGAGGTCCGGGCCGACTGCTGCTCGGCGGCGGAAGTGGTTTAAGGGCACATCTACCCCAGCGGCGGAGTGGCAGAGAGAAAGGGTGCCCGGCAGAAAATGACAGGCGAAGTCAGGCGATCGGTGTAGACGCCTAAAATCTCTCCTTACATCACAGATGAGACTGTGCAGGCAGCAGCTCCCTCGCCCGATTTAAAGGCACCCTCACACTCCGCCCTGCAGCGGGAGGGAGTGGCTCGAGCAAGAACGCTGCCTCCGAGGACGCGCGAGGAGGGGGAGGGCAGGAACAAGCGACCCCCACCGCTTCTCCGTCGTTTTGCTGCTGCTCCTGCCGCCGCCAGCGTGACCAGTCAGCCGCCGACGTGCGGCATCTACGGCAGAAGCGCCGCTGCGGGTGCCCACGTCTCACTTGGGAAAAACAGAAATCTCACGCCGAAACGCCCCCGTGCGGAGCTCCCTGTCCGCCCTCACCTTCTCCGGCAGTGCTGGAGCTCCCAATGCTGCTCGTGAACGACTCTGAGCTCGCGCGCGCGCGAGACTGTGTGTGTGTGTGAGGGAGAGAGAGGGGGGGGCACGTTCTAGAGGCGTCTTGTGACACATTTCAAAGACGTAGCGGGTTACTGCTTTGCCCAAGATTATATTCACCCCCTCATCTCCATCTGCCAAGGCTTTCAGGTGGTGGCACAGGGTGCACCTCTATTTCTCTGCTGCCAGCAAGGGGTCATCTGGACTTTTGTAGCCCTGATGTGACTGTAGGAAGTTAGCACCCACCCCTCTCCTGGAAAATTGAAATAGCCTAGGAAATATTAAAAAGGCAGAATATTTCCTCTAAAAAGAGTAGAAACTCAGAAGCAGAATCTCACCCCCACCTTTGTTAATGGGTGGGCCATTAAGGCCTGGGCCAGAATATTTTACATAACAAAGATCTCCAGGTAAAACTATAGCAATTGCCAAAAGCCCTTTTAAGGGCATAAATCATCCAGCAAGGCTAGACCAAGCCTGGAACTCAGGACAGCCTACAGAGTTGCCCATGAGAGTCTGACAATCAGTCAGAATACAAGCTCAAATTCAAATCCCAACAGAGGGTATAAAACCCAGGTGCTCTCAGCACCTCAGTCCTTTTTTCTTGATCTCTTCTCACCTTGAAGCATGTGATCACCCTTCTCTGGAGCTCCAGGCCATGTGGTCCTGTCCACCATCAAACCTTCCAAGCAGCCTCCATGTTTCCAGTGTCTTTTTCCCCATTTGGAACTGAACCCAGAAGGATATTTCTTTCAACATGACAATGAGGCACACGTTGGAAAAATATTAGCAGGGTGGTCCATTCAGATTATGTCCAATAATCAAAGGTTCTGATTGGAATATGGGTATACGCTATCGCTTTCTCTCATGCACGTATTGGGTTTTGATAGTGTGGAAAGGGAACTTCACAAGGACAGTGGTGCTACTCAAGCAGGAAAAGCCAAAGGGAACATCAGGGGCTGATCCTCAAACAGTAATTCAAACCCTGAAATCTATCATAGACAGCCATAATCCATCCTGGGGCGACATGACCCAGCTGTTACAAGTCTTTCTAACGAAAGATGAACTATTAAAACTGTTTGAAAAAAACAGACCAAATAGCCCTGGACAGGCAGCCCCAGCCCGCATCGCATGGCCAGTACATCGCCCTGACTGGGACTATAATGATGCCAATCATTGGGACGAATACACAAGAGCAAAAGATAACTTACTAGAAGCTTTAGAGGAAATAGGTAAAAAGCCCTTAAACTGGTCCGAATTTCAAAAAACAACAGAAAGGGAAAAGGAGAACCCTGATGCCTTTTGGGTCTGCCTGTCAGAAGCAGCTACTGCATATACCCACCTAGACCTTAGCTGCCTGAAGGACCAAAGGATTTTAGCTTCAGCCTTCGTGGACCAGACTACCGTGGATATCAAAGAACATTTCCACCTCTTCATCTCTAACTGGCCAACCTTAGACATAACAAAGTTGCGCAGGATCGCTAACTTTGTCTATGATCAAAGAGACAAGCTGAAAGAGGAAGAGAAAGATAGAAAGAGACGAATAGAAAGACAGGAAGACTTAAAAATGTTTGCTGTAATGCAACATGATGCCAGACAAACACCAAGTAAAACCCCCTATAATTCAAGGAAATGCTGGCATTGCGATAAAGCAGGATGGTCGCAAGGCAAATGCCAGCATTGTTATAGGTGCGGACAGGAAGGTCATTTCAGCAGGCAATGTAGGCAACACCCCTCCCGCAACCGGTATCACCCACCACCTAGGAACATGAGGCCAGGCAATAATCCAGTCCATTACACTGAGCAACAAAACTTCAATCATCAGACACCACCCAGCGCTCCTTTTCCTCCAATAAATAATAACAATAGACATCAATGGGAGCAAAGAAGAGAACATGATCTACCCCTTTCCTGACTAGAACATGACAATGAAAGCACTGAATTCATGGCTACCTTTAACGGGCTGGCTATCCCCCTAAAAAACGGCCCTGAAGGGGAACCCATTGTCACCATTCTTATAGGAGGAAAGAAATACAATTGCTTAGTTGATACTGGAGCCACCTCCTCATTAATTACTGAACAACCATATAAAGCTTCAGTGGCTGAAGGGGCTCGGGATAGCATAATGGGAGTAGCAACTAGGCCACATAACATCATTAACTACACCACATTTAGAAACCTTCCTGACTCCTACGAAAGCATTTTTAGCTGGGGCCACTCTACAAAAACCAAGGACCACACTATGTACACCCTACACATCGCTGCAGTAACCACCTCTGAGAGATGCTTTAATGTCACTGGGTGCAGCACGCCTAGGGTCGCAGAATGCACCAGTCTTAGCAACACAGAACTAAAATGCAACTACACAGAGACCATATCATTCTCATATAGTTACCTGAAGCTCCCACCAGGGTGGTTTTTCCTTTGTGGCTTAAAAGCCTACTCATACCTTCCTGCAAATGCCACCAATGGCCCCTGCACCTTGGGAAGGTTAACCATGCTTATGCCATCCTTACAGAGATGACACAGGAGAGCCTTCCAAACCCTAGACTTAGACTGTGACTCCAAAGTCTCCCTTCTCACCAAAACAGAATATGTCTCATTGGCAATATCCCTGGTAGGGGTACCTGGATTGGCAGTGCGAAATTCTAGAAATTTGAATAGCCTAGCATGTACCTTGGCAAAAGGCTTGAATTCGACCTCCCATGCCCTGGATGCCCTTAACAGAGAACTGAGGGAGGTCAAAGAAGCCACCCTGGAGAATAGGGCAGCAATAGACTTCCTTCTCTTGAAGCATAATTATGGCTGTGAAACATTCCAAGGGATGTGTTGCTTCAAACTGGACGAAACCTCAGAACTCGTAGGGAGGGACATCCACCATCTGAAAGAGCTAGCTCAGAATATTGGTCATGAGCAATCATTCCTGGACTTTCTCGTGGATGCCAGATTTCCATTGGCTCAAAATCCTTATAACAACCATAGTCACCATTTGTGTCTTTGGAGCCCTCATGTGTTGCCTCTGTCGATGCATACCACCCTGCCTTAGCTGCCTAAAGGCCTGTATTCCCTCTAAGAAGAGAAAATTGAAGGGGAGACAGGCGGCCATGATGATGATCCAGATTGATCACAAATACCAAATATACCCAGACATTCAATCAGAGACCACCCTCTAAGGAAAAAAAATAATAATGAAGGATTTTGGAAAGGGAACTTCACAAGGACAGTGGTGCCACTCAAGCAGGAAAAGCCCAAAGGGAACATCAGGCCAGCCATAAAACAAACTTACATAGGAAAAGGAATCAAATAAAAGGTATTAAAGAAGCCTTTTAGACAAAAGCCCAAATAATTAAGAAAACTAGAGAAATAAGAAAAGAAACCCCTTACAAACACGAGACATGCCAAATCAGCAAAACAAACAGACAAAAGACACAAAAGCATATATAGATTATAAAGGAGACAGACAGGAGATTGCCACAAAACAAATATAAGAAACTATTGTAAAGCTAAAAGAGATTAGAACGAAGCCGATAATACAATCAATCTACCCCGCAAAGTTTGCCTTCCGCACCCCACGGAGTTTACCCTCCGGCGGAAATAAAGACAAACCCTGACAGGATTTGAAACATTAAATACAAATACAAGCACTCACACACAAAAGGAGAAAAAAGGTATAAAAATCAAGGGACTTACCATACGAAGGTAGCTAGCCCAGGAACTTCGCTATCTCTTGCCTTCCTGAAAAATAAAAAAGATCCTGCTTTCAAGCAGTTGTCCGTATTCTTGCGCCGGAGCTCTCCCAGCGGGAAAATTGAATCCTTGGAAGAAAGGCATTTTGACAGCCTTTCAACAATAGCAACGGTAGGATTTGAAGGATCTGTTCTTTGGAAGCACAGACAGAATTAGCAAGTTCTTGGTATGGCCACGGTAAATCAGTCTAGGTAAGACAAAACTAATAAACGATCCTTACACAAATAAGTTATGGGATTAATAGTCACAAGGTGTGGCGAGCATCACTAGATTAGAAGAATGTAAACCTGATCGTAAGGTTGTAGTATAGAAACCAACTGAATTGATTTCAGGGCCCATGAAATCTCTGAGAATCCCCTAAATACCTGGCACATTTGCAAAGGGCAACAAATATTTAGGGAAAACAAAACAGGAGTGAAGGAGGGGACTGAGCATGCTGAGCATAGAATACTGACAGGATTTGGAGATAAATAGTGTGTGAATAGCCATTTCTGAAAAAAAAGGGCAGGTAACTGGTTGGAATGTGTAAGCAAGTTGATTCAGTCACAAAAAGCTCATATATTCATCCTCCAATTGTGGCCTTTTGTTTTTTGTCTCCACTTCTTCCACCATTTTCTCTCAGGAAACAACATTAAGGAAGAAAAGATGGAATAGCTGCACTGATTGTATGGACTACCATGGATTGACTTACTTATATTAAACTCATTAAAATAAACTGAACTTGAACAAATTAATTTGCACATCAGAGGTCTACTATTTTTTTTTCTTTTTACAGCCCCTTTAATTCCCTTCAGGTGGAATCGGGATGACTGAGTGGAGCTGAGCATTTAGTGCCTGGATGCCCTTCCTGACACCAGCAGAGGTGGTAGCAGATTTTTTTTTTCTTCATGCCCTGGTAGAGAAACATATGCCACTGTCTAGGATTGAACTCTCAATCTTCCAAGTGAGAGGCTAGCGTCTTTACCTCTAGACTAGGCTATCACACTGCTCGCTTCAGAGGTTGACTACAAATACTTCAATATTAAATCTGCATCCACCCTCATGATTTAATCCACATTTGATTTGTGACTTTCTCAGCTGTGTCAGCTGTGTAAAAGTATGTACAAATTGTAATCAATTTTATCAAAACCAATTTTAAGACTTCATGTGATAAAAAGTATAAATAAAAAGCAGCAATATTTTGTTTTCTGTGTTCTATAATTTAGTATGACCTCAATAAAAACTTATTTTTATGATTTTCTTTTTCCCTGTGTGACTTATATATTATGCTTAAACTAAGTATCTTTGGCTTTGTTTCAGGCACTGAAAAAATGTGCACAAAATGTGCTTCAAGAGCAAATTATGTTATTTGGCATTGTTCGTCTTGTTCCACTGAAGTCAAGCAACAAGATAAGATTATTAATCTCAGTTATTACTTTGGTTAAAGTTCTTTTTGTTGCTCTTGGATTATTATGTTAAGCAAACTTAAAGTCAAAGAAAGACGAAAAAGGAGAACTCTAGTCACAATATTTAAAGCAAGTATTGGCCAATTAAAACAGAAAAACAGACTATAAATGAAGTATAATGAACAAAATGTACTAGGGAATAAGTTTTACTGAATCCAGTAAAATCATCCCCAGAAGCATATTTAAGATTTCATGAAAATATGGGTATCTTCAGAAAATATCTGCAGATTTTAAATGTAAATTAGACAATCCATTGGGTAGTCCCATGATCATCTAAGGCGGCTATTTACCATAAATAAAAAAATAACCACAGTGGCAAATTAACTTCAGTAATAAGTCAATTTTTAGGTAAGTAAACATTGATTTATTACTGAAGTTAATTTGCCACTATGGTTATTTTTCTATTTATGGTAAATAGCCGCCTTAGATGATCATAGTATTGTAAGAGGTGGTAGTATGGGAGGGTTTCTTCTAAAGTCTACCACCATTTCTATGGGTTTGAGTGTATTCAGTTCCAGATTGTTCAGGACATACCACAAGGCAAGTTGTACAAGTTGTTTGTATGCGGATTCGTTGTTGTCTCGAATGAGACCAATCACTGTTGTATCATCTTCAAGCTTCAGTATTTTAACAGATGGATGCAGTTTGAGATGCAGTCATTGGTATATAGGGAGAAGAGAAGTGGAGAAAGCACACAGCTTGGGGGGGCGGGGCTGTGCTAATTGTACAGGTATCAGATTCTGCCTAGCTTCACCTGCTGCTTCCTGTCTGTTAGGAAGCTTATGATCCACTTACAAGTGTGTTTAGGTACCGCTAGCTGGTTTAGTTTAGTTAGAAGAATGTCTGGAATGATGGTAGTGAATGCTGAACTGAAGTCTACAAAGAGGACCCTTGCATAAGTATTTGGAGATTCAAGCTGTTTTAGGATGTAGTGCAAATTTCATCCAGACGGGATAAATTGTAAGAGGTGATTTTTATCTTTTTTTAAAAATAAAATAAAATAAAGTTTATTTAAGAATCATACATTTTAAAACATTTAAAAACAAACGAACATATAAACAGATATATATACATATATACATTTTGCAGCAAAAAGTTGAGCAATGGTTACACATTTTTTAACATTTTTTAACAATGACGTGATCTGCCTTGTTACAATACCTTCTTCGTTCTTTCAATGCCTTAGTTTCACAAAATGCTTTATGATTAAATGCATGTCTTCAATAACTTTATAGCTTATCCAGTTGTCAGATATTGCCTTTTCTTTAACCATTCATACCAGCAATTCCATGTTTTATAGTAATCACTATCTTGGTTATTTTTTAGTAGTTTAGTTAGGCTATCCATCTCTGCGCACTCATGAATTTTTTTGATGACCATCTCCTCTGAAGGGATGGTAGACAATTTCCAAATTTGTGCATAGCTTATTCTAGCTGCTGTTATAATGTGTAAAATTAAATATTGGTTGTTGTTTGTCCATTTTAGAATCTATCATACCCAGCAAGAAAGTTTTGAGTTCAAGTTTTACTTCTTGTTTAGTTATATTTAAAATCCAATTTTTGATATTTTTCCAAAACCTTTGAGCAAAGGGACAGGTCCACCAGATATGAAAATATGTTCCCTGGACGCAGTTACACTTCCAACAGTTTGGGGGAAGATTCGGGAACATCTTAGCCAGTCTCTCGGGTGGCAAGTGCCAACGATACACCATTTTATAGAGGTTCTCTTTATACGAGGCCGACATAGTTAATTTGTAGTTTGTTTCCCAAATATGTTCTCACTTGTTTAATTCAATACTGTGGCCCACACTTTTTGCCCAAGTTATCATGCACTCTTTGACTGTTTCTTCTTTTAGTTTATAATTCAATAGATATTTATATATTTTACTAATCATCTTCTTTTCCTCTCCTTGCCAAATTTTATCTAATTCTTGGTAGGTTATGTTAAAGCCAAATTGTTCTTTATCTTTTTTGTGGTGCGATTGTATCTGCACATAGGGCCACCATGGTATCTCTTTTCCTAAAATTTGTATTTGATTCCTAGCCTTTAACTCTCCATTTTGATGTAATAAATCTTTATATCTTACAATATTGTCAAAATCTAAGACATTTGGATGTGTAACTGCCTCCATTGTGGATAACCACAGTGGGACCTTGCAATAATGTACTTTTTTTATCTTTTCCCAAATATTTAGTAACACATTCCTTATATAATGCCTTTGAAAGTGGTGTTTACTCTTTCCATCCCACATAAATGTGTGCCATCCAAGTTGGAGATCAAAACCCTCTAGTGTTAAAATCCTTTTGTTTATCAAATTAACCCAGTCTTTAAGCCAAGTTGCTATCGCAGCATAGTAATACATTTCAAAATCTGGAAGACCAAAGCCTCCTTTCTTTCTATCATCTTGCAATAATTTATATTTTATTCTGGGTTTTTTCCCTTGCCATATAAAGGGTAGATGAAGAATTAAAGAATGTGAGCACAGAAATGGAGGACTCACTGGTCTGCCTAGAGATGGATAAGGCTGCTACATACTTGAGATTCCAAAATGTAGTGGAATCCAAGGAAGAAGACTTGGAACAACTAATGGCAGGAATATTGGCTGGACTATTGGAAAAGGATAAAGATGACATCTTGAGGGAGTTTGATGAAGTTTACAGGGTTAGCACTAATTATACGAGATGCCACAAATGCCCAAGAGAAGTCCACATACGATTTGCGAGAAGGAGTGTCCGGGATATCATATATAGGATGTCAAGAGATGAAACAATCACATATAAAGGCAAAGAAGTCTTGGTTCTCAAACAAATACCAAGAAGAGTAAGAGAACAAAGAGGAGATTATAAATTCTTAGCAGCTTACCTAAATCAGAAAAGAATTGTATTTAAATGGCTAATCCCAGAGGGGATGTTAGTTTCTTGGGACGAAAGGAAAATCAAAATAGACTCCATGGAAAAGGCCCAGGAATTTTATGAACGATTGGTAGGCCCGGAAGACCAGAGCAGTAAGGATGAACTGGAAACGAACTCCTAGGAAGATCAAGGCTATCATAAGAATAGAGATGGAACTTTAGGAAATCAAGGAAATACTCAATTACAACAGAAGAGAGAAGAAAGCAGGACACATCTTCAGGCACAAGGAGAGACCGGAGCCATTACAAGACAAAGAGCGAAACAGAACTAATTAAATGGAAGAAGAAAAGAAACTATTATCAATTAATATAAATGGTTTAAACTCTATAAAAAGGAAAAGGATAATAGCCAAACTAATTAAACAAAATGCTGATATAGTATGTCTACAAGAAACTCATATAAAGAAATCAGATGAAAAATACTTAGAATGTCCGAAATTAGGGAAGCTCTTCACCACACCAGCAGACATGGGGAAAAAGAAAGGGATTGCAGTATATGTTAAAAAGGATTTGAAAGCAGATTTAATATGGTCGGATTCTGAGGGAAGAACTCTGGTTTTGCAGATCTGGATTAATGCCATCCCAATTCTCTTAGTGGTAATCTATGCCCCGAATGGAGATCAAAAAGAGTTTTTTAAGCATCTTTATGGAAAAATAATAGGACTGGAAAAAAGAAATATTTGTATTATAGGGGACTTTAATTCTATTGCTGATTATCAAAAAGACCACAGTAATGGGGGAAGGAACAAAGGGGAAAAAAGAGAGCTTCCCAAAATATGTATGGAAAAGATGAAGGAGTTAAATTTGATTGACATATGGAGAAGATTACATCCTGAGAAAAAACAATTTACATTCTATTCAAATCCTCATCAAATATGGACACGAATTGATATGCCATGAATGAATGGGGAAATAGCAAATGAGATAAAAGGGATTGAAATTCTACCGAATGAATGGGCAGATCACAATTCAATTCAGATAATATGGAAGGGTAGGGAAAAACCCAAGAAAAGATGGACGATAAATACTCAGTTAATAAGAGAAAAAGAATATACCAACAAACTCAAGGAGGAATTAAACTATTTTTAAAGAAAAATGATAATGGAGAAACTACGAAACAAAACATTTGGGATACAATGAAGGCAGTAATAAGATGTATAACAATCTCTTATAACGCCAAGAGGAATAAAGAAAAATACGCCCAGCAAAACAAATTACAACAAAAAATTAAGGAATTAGAAACTCAATTACAGAGTACCCCAAAGGATTCAAAATTGCAAAATCAGATAACAATAACTAAACATAAATTGAATTGAATTGAACAAGAGAGAATGATTATAAATTTGAATACAACTAGACAAACTTATTTTGAGCATGCCAATAAGCCAGGGAGATGGCTATCATACAGACTTTAAAAAAGGAAAGAAAAAAGATTGATTTACCAGCTAATAGATGGAAAGGGGGATATACAACAGGAGATAGAACAGAAAAAAGAAATTGCCCATAAGTATTTTGAAGAGTTATATAAAAAGGAAGAAGTTAACGAAGATAGGATAAGAAAGTATTTAGATGAAATGAAGGATAAAGCAATTGGGGAAGAAATGGAAGAATTATTAAACAAAGATATTACTCGGTTCGAATTGAAATCAGCCATAGAGAACCAGAAAAACAACAAATCCCCGGGACCAGATGGGATCCCAGGGGAACTGTACAAGGCAATAGCAGAACAAATAGGACCTCTTATGGTAGAAGTTTTTAATGACGTCTTATTGGCAGCCAGGATGCCGGATGCATGGAGGGGGGTATTGATTTCGCTGATCCCAAAGGAGGATTCGGATCCCTGATATATACAAAATTATAGGCCAATTTCATTGTTAAATACTGATTACAAAATATTTACATCTATTATAGCAAGTAGACTAAAAAGAATGTTTAAATGAGCATATACATGAAGACCAAAATGGATTTCTTCCGACCAGACAAATCAGGAATAACTTAAGAATAGTATTGGATGTTTTAGAATTTTACGAAGCCCACCCCAAAAAACAAATTACACTTATGTTTTTAGATGCAGAGAAGGCCTTCAATAATTTAAATTGGCAATTTTTAATCCAATAAATTTATAATATGAATTTAGGCACCAAATTTGAAAATATTATAACAACCATTTATGATACACAACAGGTGAATATTATAATAAACGGGGAATATACCCACCGAATAAAAATAGAAAAAGGAGTCAGACAGGGCTGCCCGCTCTCACCCCTGCTCTTCATATTATCACTAGAAGCATTATTAACGCGAATTAGACAGAACCCAAACATAAAAGGATTAAAGGTTAAGAAAGAAGAATATAAGTTGCAAGCATTTGCGGATGATATGATTTTTTTCATTGAAGAACCAATAGAGGACAAAAATTGATGAAGGAATTAGAACAATTTTGGAGCAGTAGCAGGACTAAAAATTAATAGGAAGAAAACAAAATTAATGACCAAAAATTTAACAGAAAAACAGAAAATAGAACTAGAAGAAGTTATGGGAATACAAGTGACAAAGAAAGTTAAATACTTAGGAATATGGTTGACAGCACATTGTAAGACACTTAAGGAAAATAATTATGATAAATTGATGCAACAGGTAAAGAAGGATTTAGAAACATGGGGCAAGCTGCAACTTTCATTTTTAGGCAGGATCGCTGCTATTAAAATGAATATTCCTCCAAAATTCCTCTATATATTTCAGACAATCCCAATCAAAGTACACAATTTTTTTTTAAGAACTTAATAAAATAACTGTAAAATTCATCTGGCAAGGGAAAAAATCTAGAATAAACTTAAAGGCAATGCAGGATATGAAGAGCAGGAGAGGGCTGGCACTTCCAAATTGGGAGTTATATTATAGTGCAGCCTCTTTAGTATGGTTGAAGGAATGGGTGAATTTAACCAATATTATTTTTAGAAGGCCACAACTTACAGAGGGGGTGGCATGCTTTTTTATGGGGTGTTGGGATAACTAGCCAGAAATATTTTCACAGACACCTAATCAGAGATTCATTATTGACTAATTGGAAGAAAATATGGAAAAACATGATTTAAAAATACCAATTTGGATCTCAACAATGGAGGCGATGATTCACCCAAATAATCTGGATATTACTAAAATGATTAAATATAAGGACCTATTGGATACGCAAGGAAATCTGAAATCATGGCAAGAACTTCAAGATCAGGGATTAAAAATTGATCAGTGAGCACATCTTCAAATTCAAAGTAGATATAAACAGGACAAGAAAGAATTTGGAATTAACAATAAACTCCAGCAATTAGATAAAATTTTATTAGGATCAGGCAAAAAAAAATATATAACAAAATTTTATAATTATTTATTAGAAATAGAATTAGAAGAAGAAATTGTAAAAGGGAACATGATAGCCTGGAGTAGGAATATAGGATGTAGTATCACCATAACAGAATGAGAAAAGGTCTGGGGTAGAAATAATAAAATTACAAAATCGGTAGAATACATAGAAAATGCCTATAAAATGTTTTATAGATGGCATCTTCCTCCTTCGAGATTAGTGAAGATGCACCCCAATATGAGTCCAAATTGCTGGAAATGCAAAAAAAGAGAGGAAACTTTCTTCCATATGTAGTGGTCTTGTACAGAAGCTCAAAAATATTGGCAGAAAATTAGAAATTGGCTGGAGGAAATGACAAGAGAACAGATCGAATTCAAACCAGAGTCCTTTCTATTATGGATCTTTGATAAACAAATACCAAAAAAAGTGAAATATATAATAACACATATTTTGACAGCGGTCAGATTGGCTTTTGCACAATGTTGGAAACAGCCTCACGTTCTATCAGAGGAGATGATTATTCAAAAAATTTCAAATTGTGCAGAAATGGACAAATTAACCTTGGCATTAAAAGATAAAGACACTTCAATATACTACAACAGCTGGAACCGCTGATACAAATGGATAAACCAAAGATAGATTTCACACTAAAAGGCAAAAGAGGATAGGATAGATTTGTGATAGTGATATACAGATATATGTAAGGATTAAGTGTGTATATGACATAAAATAAGGATAAAAAGGACCACCCTCTGTAATGTCTTTATATCCGTGGCTGTCAAGCCAGCATACCACTCCGTAATGCAATATGTGAGGACGCTTTCTATTGTGGACTAGTAAAAGGAGGTCATCAGTCGTTGTTCCACTTTATGCTTTCACAAGACCCTAAGGAAATGGAGTCTCTGTTGGGCCTTTCTGACCAGCTGGGTTATGTTTTCCAAGTTTTCCAGGTAAGATCTTCGCTGAGGTAGACTCCCAGGAATTTAAAGAAGGAAACTCTTTCTACACAGCCCCCCTCGATGTAAAGTGGGGCAGGTTCTTCTGTCTTCTTCTGGAAGTCTAAGATCTAGTTTCTACCCGTGGGCTGTCAGACTTCTGAATGGAAAATAACACAGACTTGTGGGGCCAGTGTGTTGTGCAACAAGGTCACATAGTGTAATAAGATTGGGACTGGGTTAGGGACTTCTGTCCTCACTGTGAGTTGCATTGGGGGGGGGGGGGGGGTGCATGAAGGGAGGCTCAGCCAATCTCATTGTACATATGTTGTATCTGACAATAAAGGTAATAATATCTTTGTCTTGCTGGTGTTTAGGTGCAGGTTGTCTTCTAGGCACCATGAGGATAATTTTTGAACCTCCCCCCGTACGCTGTTTCGTCTCCACCTGTAATGAGACCCAATACGGTAGTATCATCTGTGAACTTAATGATCACAATGGATGGGTGAGATGATACACAATCATGTGTGTACAGTGAGTACAGGTAAGGACTGAGCACACAGCCCTGTGGGGAGTCAGTGCTGAGCTTCAAGGAGGTGGATGTGACAGACCCAGCCCTCACTGTTTGTGGTCGGTCCCTCAGAAAGTCTTTGATCCAGTTGCAGATGGAAGAGGG